CCCCGTAAACGCCTCTATTCTAGCGCCTACCCTTCAGTGGACTAGGGAAGCTGTGACGCATTTGCGCCACCCTGCCATGTGACCTGTCACGTGACTTTTGGCTCTCCGCCCCCCTCTGCTAAACAACTCCATTCTAGCATCTACTGTGCTACCTGGGATACGCTGAGCATGCAGCGGAGAGCGCAGGAGGACAGGGAGGTGCAGCCCCCGGGTCAGGAGAACGAGGTGCGCTTCCCTGGGCCCCGACCCTTCCGCTTGCTGGAATGGAAGGTATCCATTGGCGTGTCCGTTCAGATCGGCTCGGTGCTGGCTTTGGGGGTTACTATCCCGGCTGCGGAGAGCAGAGAACAGCGTGGCCCGCAGCAGGAGGCGGGGAGGCCACACAGACCACCTGAGAGGAAAGTCAAGTCGGACCGGGCCGGAGTGGTGCTGGAGCTGTGTGTGAAGCCGGGGCAAGTCATCTCCGCGGGGTAAGCCGGAACGTGGGGTTGTTCTAGAGCGGGAGCGCTGAGATCTCCGGGCCGGGGGCAGCTCGGCTCAGCGTTTCCCTCCAATGTGTCCGCTGGTTTGTTTACATGGTGGTGCTGATCAGTAGGAGGCGGGGTGGCGGGAGAAGTGACAGCTTTGTATTATGTGATTGCAGAGTGCACCGGAGCTGGACATGTCAAAGTTCAGGGGGTTGTATCATAGGGCGCCAACCGATCTCGAAGTGTGTGTTGTATCCGACATGAATGTTTTGTCTGGAGATTTATGAGGGCAAGCAATATTTATCATGATAGAGCCAAGTCTGGTCATCCGCTGTCACCTGTCCCCATTCACACATTTCTCAAAGTAAGGCAATCCTATTATTTCCAATAGTGTCTCTTTACAGCGTCTTTTTGTACAGAATTGGGTGTTTTTTGTCCCATAGACTTCAGTGGGAGCACCTTTTAAGGGCTTGTCCACAAACTCCACACCAAATAGTGTTTTCCAGCGCGGTTATCTGCTGGAACGTACTGTATCGCATACTAAATTCCCCTCTGTGTTCTGGGACCAGAGAGGCTGTGGTGTTGTATTCAAGTCAATGGCCACACCCCCTGTCTGCAGTGCGATTGCCCCCACAAGGACGCGTAGACCCAACAATGCCTGTGTTACGGTCCAGTGCAATTGCAAAAAAATGCTGAAGGTAGGGGGCGTGGCTGCAGTGTCATTGACTTGAATCCACCGCCACATCCCCTCCTGCTCCAGAACGTGTGGGGGGTTAGTATGCGATACAGTGCGTTCCAGCAGCTAACCATACAGGAACGCACTGTAATTGGCGTGATCAAGCCCTAAGAGTAATCTCAGTAAAATGTTTTCTTAACCCTTGTAGTGGGGCTATCCTCGCACTGCAAGGGTTAAGCGCTTGTTTGTGTCCTGGTGCTAAAAACAAAAGTTCCCTCCAGCCTGTCTCCTCCTCTCTGCAGCATTGGAATCTTCTTTGGTGTCCTCAGTTCATAGTTGTTGTTGTTGACTTAGACCGTTGCAGAGGAGGGGGAGAGACGTTTGATGGACTGGTCCAAGAACAAGCCGTTTCAGAGCTTCAGGTGAGTATGACTTTTTTTTTTTTTTAACGTAGACACAAACGAGCAGTTAATCCTTGCAGTGCAGGGGTAGCCCCACTGCAAGGGTTAATCACATTTTTTTTTTTCTTGGAGTTCTTCTTCAACTACCTCCCGTCCATTTACTATTCCTGAATGGCCGGACGGGAGCCTTATAGGAGCGGGAGGATGTCTTTAGACGTCCTCCCCCCCCTCCCCCGCTTGTGTACGGCGCCCAGCGCGCACACGAGCGGGGAAACTGTCAGAAATGTAAACAACCAGCGATGACTGTTTACATTCAATCGATTAGGCGTCTCTAGAGACGCCCGATCATTTGTAGTAGCAGCTTGTGTGCGCCTGTAACACCGCCGGTCCAGAGATCTGCTATGCCCAGTGTGGCTGGGACTGGCACGGCGACTCTGTCACTGGAGATCAAAGGGAGATCAGTACACTACCTTCCTTTTGAGCTCCTCTCCGGTCTCCGAATGCAGGAAGTGATGTATATTACATCACTTCCTGCATTCAGTGTCACTCTCCTGGTACAGATGCTGGTGAGAAGCTGATGAAGCAGATCTCGGCTTCTCTGGGGTCCCTAGGTGACATTAGGGGTCTTAGAGACACCTGATGTCTCCATAAAGAGGACCTGTTATGTGAATTGGTTATCACATAGGGGATTTCTTAGCCCCCTGTGTGATGGCAATAAAGTTAAGTGTTAAAAAAAAAAAGTAAAAACAAAAAATTTGAAATGACACAAATTTTTTTTTAATGTCCCCCTATCCTCCTACCCTACCCCACATACACACGCAAACATGCGTCGGGTGTGCCTACATGCGAAAACAGCGATTCCGCCTATTGTGCTGCATATGTTGCGTATCGCCATATACATGCATATCGTTACATATCACACGTTGGAGTGAGAGCAATAATTCTAGGGCCATGAATTACTGATGACACTAAACTGATGAACAGTAAAAGCTTTTAAAGCGTCGCCTATGGCCACATATGTTGCGTATCGCCATATACATGCATATCTTATAATAAAAAAATGGTCCAGTAAATGGGAATTCTGGGGGCGCTGCCTGATCCGTACCACAGTCAATAGAGTACCAAGTTCGCACATCACTGAGCTCCTTTGCAGAATCGTTGCTGTCGTCACTTTTAGTGTGTGATGACGAATTTCCCAACGAATCGCTATCACTCAATTCTGCAAGTGATTCTAATTTGCTATCACTGTTTTCTACCTGGTCTAAAACTGCTTTTGACCTAAAGGGACTCTTTTTGAATGCCATGGACGTTCTCAAATTTCCAGGCAGAAAGAACAGTAAAAGTGCAGGCAGGGCACTGGACAAAGCTATAGGGACAAAATTGAAGCGAAATAGTTTGATACATATATGCAAGGCTTGAAAAATCGGAGGACGGTGGAGCCCGACGAGCAGTTTGTAATTACAACAGCCGGCCGGGAGCTTTACAGTCAAGCTTGTATTAGCAGCTGTCATTGCTCTCTACAAGTTTAAACAGAGTCCCGGCGGCAAAAGTCACCGGGAGTCTGTTTAAACAGCCCCGATGCTGGCGACGTACACTGTACGTCGTCAGTCACGAAGGGGTTAAAGGAGAACTATGGGGTTAGGGCTTTTCTCCCACAGTTCTCCTAAGGGTAACGGGAGGACACAAACTAGCGTCCTGTCACCCAAAGTTCAGTATCTTGCGGTATACTGAGACGCCGCAGCTGAAACGGATCCCGACAATTATGTCTGGATCCGCCCAGCTGCGTGAGTGACAGCTGGCTCTGCCTATCTAGAGGCAGAGCCAGCTGTACCCGCCCCCTCCTCTGTCCGTTCCGCCAGTCAGCGCTGGCGGATCGGAGGGGGGAACCCAGTCCCTCACCAGTGACGTGGCTCTCCGCAGTGACAGGATCGAGAAGTGAGCGAATGCTGGTATGTGTTCGCTCACCTCCCGATCTACTGAGCCGACCTGTGACAGTCTCATTGTCATAGGTCGGCTAGAACTATGAGGTGAGTGAAAAGCACTCTCCTCATTGTTCTCCTCCTTTTTTAAAGAATCATTAAAATAAAAGAAAACATTTTTTTTAAGTCCCCGCCCCCCACATACACACGCAGATATGCGTCGGGTGCGCCTACGTGTGAAAACGACGATTGCGCCTATTGTGCCGCACATGTTACATATCGCCGCAAACGTCGGAGTGAGAGCAATAATTTTAAAGACATTAACCCCTTCGTGACTGACGACGAACAGTGTAGGTCGCCAGCATCGGGGCTGTTTAAACAGACTCTGTTTAAACTTGTAAAGCCGACTTTCGGCTTTACAACAGAAGCGATTCTGGCGACTTACCTGTCGCCAGATCGCTTCTGTGTCCCGTAGAAGGAGCCGCCCTTCAATAGCTTATTTCCAGTGTAAAGGTGACACTGGGGGTCTTTTGGACCCCCAGCATCACCTTAAAGAGTACCTTTCACCACCATCTGCTATCACATGGGGGGCTTGTAAGCCCCCTTATGTGATAGCAGTCAAAGTAAAGTAAAAAAAAAAAGTTTTACAAATTAAATCTAGTAATAAAAAAATTTTAAGTCCCCCGCACCCGTGAGCACGCGCATCGCCGCGTAAACACGCGTCGGGTGCGCCTACGTATGAAAACGACGAACGCGCTACACATGTTGGGTATCGCCGCGCACGCTGGAGTGAGAGCAATAATTCTAGGGCCAGTATTTTGGGGTATCTCTAAATTGATGACCTGTGGGGACTTTTAAAGCGTCTTCTATGGACTTTTTGTGGTAGTGCAGTTTTTCGCAGTTTCAGGGACGCACGCAATTTGTAACCTGGGCATGTTGGGTATTGTTTTACTCGTCTAACCTCATCTTTTTTATATTTCATTAAAAAATGGGTATTTTTTTGTGTTTTGGGGCATTTAATTAAATTTTTCACTAAATGTTGGGGTTTAATAAGGAGTTGCGCTAATATTGCGCAACATAAAAATGTGCAACTACCACCATTTTATTCTATAGGGTCTTGGCATTCAGAAAATATATAATGTTTGGGGGTTTTTAGTCATTTTTAGGCCTAAAATGTGGAATATAACATGGGTGCAAAAAATGGGGGGGAAAGGCCTCAGTCATGAAGGGGTTAATCACTGATAACACTAAACTGATGAGCAGTAAAAGCGTTTTAATTGTCGCCTATGGGCGTTTTTTGCGGGCGCACGCAATTTTAAGGCCTGACATGTTTAGGTAAGTGACACTTTTTTGTGCAATCCCGAGTGTGGCTCGGGGTTGACGCTATTGGTACTGAAAATTAACTCTGAGCCACACTCGGGAATACCGCCAGGGAGGTTAAAAAATAACTCCAGGCAAAACATTTCATGTGCTTTTTACAGTGGAGAGGGTTACAGCTCGTGTGTCCCCATGGAGGAAATGTCTCTTCTCTTCCTGTTCTGACAGGTAATGCAGGGAAATCTCACTCAGGGAGCACAGCAGGAAGAGATTCAAACCCTTCCTCATTCTGGAGCATTTTTTTTTTTTACTGTTGTGGGTATTCTATCTTCCTACTACCATGAAATAGAAAGTAGGGTAGATAGGAGCAAACCCCTCCACTCACTATTTAGAATTTTCTCTTGCTGGATTTGCACTTTAATTTCTTATTCTCTTTGGTCATGGGTTTTTTTTTTTTTTTTTTTACAAATTATATAGAAAGTATAAAAGTTGACATCATCAAAATGTGCCTTGGAGATAGAAAATCATAGAAGCTTTAAACACTTTGATGTGCTGGTGAATTTTAAAGCTGTTGACTTTTTTTCCCCCCTTTGCCTCTATTCCTGTAAGTTTGAACTCCAGGCAGATATAAAAGACACAGATGAATGCAGCACATTCATAATTAATATATAATTAAATGTATGTTTATAT